AATTAGATTCCCCACTAGATCAATAGCTTAATTTGGTTTCAGAATTTAAAAGATTTTACCTTTTGTACAAGTAATGTGTATATATTTTGATTATAAATAATTCACATATTGCAAATAATGCCAAAATCATTCTCATCTCCAGGGTAAATTGTTATTATCAATTACATGTGTATCCCTTCAAAAATTTATGTACATATATATATTCTTCTAAAATTATATATATTTTAATATATGGAGTTTATTATGTGAATCATTCTGGAAAAATGCTTTCTTTACTTAATAATATACCTTAGGAAACTTTCTATATCATTATTTTTTCTGTTTATTTTATGTAATATGGATATGCCATAGAATTTAATAATTTCCCTGTGAATAGACATTATGGTTATTTCTTTTATTTTTTTGTACTGGGGATTAAACTCAGGGACACTCAACCACTGAGCCACATCCCCAGTCCTACTTTATATTTTATTTAGAGACAGGATCTCACTGAGTTGCTTAGCATCTTGCCTTGCCATTGCTGAGGCTGGCTTTGAACTGGAGATCCTCCTGCCTCAGCCTCTCCAACCGCTGGTATTACAGGCATGTCCCACTGTATCAGGTGACATTATGGTTATTTCTAAGATTTTTGTAATTGAAAAAAAACATGCCCAAAATATCTTTACATATGTCATTATTTTCTAGAATTAATACAGGAAAATGGAATGGCTTTGTCAAGAATCTGAAACTTTTAAAGATACTCTCCAATCTCCCTCCAAAGTGGCTGAGACCATTGCCCCTTATTGTGCCATCATTTTATATTAAGAAGAGTTTATCTCAAAGGAAAAAATGTTTCATTTAAATTTTCACTTTTCCAATTAGTATAGATCTTAAGTTATTTGTTTTTCATTTTTATTTATTTATCATCATTATTATTGTTATTTATAATGCTGGAGATTGAACCCAGGAATGCTCTACCACTGAGCTAGATCTCCACCCTTTTTATTTTTTAATTTGAGACAGGGTCTTGCTATGTCGCTGATGATGGCCTCAAACTTTCAATCCTCCTGCCTCAGCATCCCAAGTGGCTGGAATTACCAGTGTGCACCACCAGGCCAGCTAAACTGTTTATCTTCTGTACATTACTGCTTTAAAATCTTCTTTCATTTTCTTCTTTTTTAAAAAATATTTTTTAGTTGTTGATGGGCCTTTATTTTATTTGTTTATTTATATGTGGTGCTAGGAATCGAATTTGGTGCCTCACACGTATGAGGCAAGCGCTCTACCGCTGAGCTACAACTCCAGCCCTTCTTCCATTTTCTTATTGCATTGTTTGCTCTCCTCCTCTTTCTTTTCCTCCTCCTTCCTCCTCTTCCTTTCCTTTCTTTCATGTAACAGGTATTTATTTCATTAATTTTGGAGGCTCAAGATCAGGTTTCCAGCATGGTTGGATTCTGGTGAGGGCCTTCCTCCTGGCTTGTAGATGGCTGCTTTCTCATTTTCTCACTGTCTTCTCATTGGAGTTCTTTACATATTCATCATAATTATTTTCTCTGAGTATGTCCGTCTGTCTGTCTGTCTGTCTGTCTGTCTGTCTCTCTCTCTCTCTCTCTCTCTCTCTCTCTCAGCACTGGAGATTGAATCCAGGTTTTCACCGGTGCTAGGTAAGTGCTCTGCCACTATGTTACATGTCCAGCCCTGATAATATCTCTTTCAACTTTGTTTCACGGTTGTTTTTTCTGCTTTGCCTCAATACTTTTGTTTCCCATTAGTAAGATTCTTCTGTTCTTTGAGCTTAGGAGTTTAAGCTTTGTAATGGTATTAGCTTTCCTGAACCATTTCATGATTTGTGATTGTGAGTGAGGCTTTTTGTTTTTCCTTCTTAACTGCTATGCCTACATTACCGGCTTGCAAGCATGCGTAGAATAAGGTAACAGGCAGGAGAGAGAGACATTCCATGCTCCAGAGCTTGTACTACAGTGTGCATAGTGAGGCCAGCTATATTACTTAGTTAGATTCTTAGGCATGAGGACTACTCATATTTGCAGGAGGTGGTTAGTAGCCCAAGGGCAACAGACTGCTCTCTGTTCAAGTAGACAAACTCATTGCCATATCTAAGTATAGACAGCTTTGTTGCTTGGTGCCTGATCCAAGTGGTGAGGGTAGAAGGGTGGAAAGATGGGAAGGAGGAGGTGGATTTTATTATGGGACCTTGAATAGTAAACCTGTTAGTGATTTTGGGGTCCCTCGCTCATACAGACTCTCTCCCCAGAGACTGTGCCCTGATTTTGCTTCACATTTTGTAGGTGTCTTTTCCTGTACGCATTGTGTTGTGGTGTTCTTCTTTAGTTTAAACCTATCTATGTCAATGTTTTAATGATTTTTCCTGAATTCTGGTCCACTGAGGGTACATTTTCCAGAATAAGCTATCCTTTCTGAGAATTTGGAGTGATGTGGCAGGTTCCATGTATGATGTCAGCCATTTACAAAAAAAAAAAAAAATTGTTTTTTGATTCTGGATATTGAACCCAGGGCTTCTTTAGAGCTAGACAATACTTTACCATTGAGCTACAACCTTAGCCAGTCATCTTGCACCTAATCTTACCTAATTTATATTGCACTCTTCACTCTGATCCTTCCAAAATGTTAAATGTTCTTCTGAGCAAGAAAGAGCAAAAAGCAATTGGAAGGTTTGTCTCATTAATGTCAAAATTCTCATCTAGGCATAGTTTTGTTGCACTGATTATTTAATTAAGCTAAAATAGGTAAGTATAAGGAAGAAACTGGACAAGGTAAAAAATAAAATCTATCTTCAAATTAATCTCTGGCAGCAGTATTGTCTACTGGAATTTCCCCGAAGGCCCTATCCTGACTTATGAGCCACAGATGTCAATTGTGTTTGAATATAATTTACATATTTATATCCAAGTTGATTTTCAAGTCACAACACTTCTACAGCTACCACTCACTGTTGAATCCTCTGGGAACAAAACTGTCCTCTAACAATCCTGGCTGAGCTAAGTGGAAACAAACAGATTATAAATCACACAGAGCGGCCTTGGCTTGTGGCTTGTGGCTCAGGGGCAATATTTTTCTAAGTTGCTCATGCCCATGACAAATATGTGCCCTTGCAACTTCTTGACTAGGCCTTGCTGCAGGTGGGCAGGGGAATTCCTGCTAATGAACTTGGGCCTTGGCAAGTAACCTTTAATTTCTCCTTTCTCTTTTACCTACTTCAAGGAGTCCAGCCTCTCTGTTTTCTGATCCCATCTGTGTGAATGGGAAAGGATCAAAAAGATCAACTTGATATCTCAGTGAGTGAGTTTCAATCACTGTGTTATTTGATCCTGGGGGTTATACCTGCTGGGCTTTGCACTCCACCCCAGTAACATACACTACATAAGAAAAGCTTGGTTCACCTGCTCAAGATGAGCAACTGCAATGAAAAGAACTGACATTTACATTTACATCAACAGAGAAGATGGGTGACCCCAGCTTCCATTAATCTTCTGTCCACAAATTTTCTCCTGTGCATGTTAGGTAACATTTTCCTATGCAATCAGACAGAAAACATGAGCAGAGCTGGCTTTCCGTCACCATCACCAGAATGAGGGACACTGGTCTCCAGCTGAGATGTCTTTGGCACACTCTTGTCTTGCTGGCCTTCTTGCCTCCAAGCACTGCTTAGAAGCACAAAGACAGTTTCTTTCAAGCTCTAATGGATTTAGCCATAGTCCATATTCGTTAAAAAAAAAAGAAAAAGAAAGAAGTCAGAGGAAGTTGTTGAACTTTGTTCTCAGGTCAAGGCTTTTAGGAAATGAACATACCTTTGGAGAACTCATTTATAAGGTTCTTGATGACTCAGAGAGTCATATCTTTAATGAGGTGACAAGACATTTGAACCCACTAACCTTGAAACTATTGGAAGGAAAGTCAAGAGGACCTCTAATTTATTGACAAATGTGGAGATATTCAAATTCAAATTGGGCATATTTTTCTTTATGGAACTTCTCCTAGTTCACTGTGAATACAGATTTGTGGAAATTTTAGGTATTTGGTAGAAATGAAGTCATATTCTTTTTTACATCAGAAAAGAGTCCTCTTTTTTTTTTTTTTTTTTTTTTTTAAATGTGTCTGAATCATTCTTTTAAACTTCAAAAGCTGCTGTAGGATGGAAATCACAGAATGTTCAAAACGGCCAAAGAGTATCACTAACAGTGTGGATGTTTGGGTTAAAAGTGTATTGTATCCACCAGGAAGAAGTCACAATTCTGGAGTTTTGGGACAAGGATCTGCATATCCTAGACTAAACCGTGAGTGTATGCCATAGTTTTGATAATAACTTTAGCTTATTGATATGAATTCCGTAACTAAAAGGACCAAAGTTGAACCAAGACTAGTACTAGGCCTGTAAATGTTTTGTAAAAGCAACAGTTAGTGAAATGTGTTTTGATTTGCTTTGGTATTGGAGCTAAAAAAAAAAATTCTATATTGTTCATGAACAAACACTAAAACTTAATATACAGTGTACACACATATGTAGTCCATGACTGGAAAAAACTTGCTTGATGAAGTGCTTTGGAATGTTTCTGACTCTTGGCTGGGCTCTGTCACAGGATCAGGATTCCTAAATGCCAAGGACTGTCTTGCAAGATGGGCACCAGTGTTGCTGTCATTTGGCCAAACCAGAGCTCACCAATCCCCAGGCTACATGGGATGGTTCTCTCTCTGTCACCTGTGTGCAGGAGGTTTTTCGTCCACATTCTGTAAGGAAACCTCCTGAGGAAGGAATTCCAAGCAAAGGCTCTTTGATAACTGTACACTGACATTTCGTGTTCTGTGTTTTGCCTGTGGCATGACAGCTTTGACTTGAATTTTTCTCTCCTCTGTACTTGACGGTTGCATAAAGCATTTTTGGGTAATGAGACTTAAAATCTTTGCTCTGGATAAATGCCATCCTTAACTGTATGCTTTTCAGCTTGGATTATTGCCACACCTATTTTATGAACATTTGTCTGCACCACAATGCAATTTTGGTTTATTGTCCAAGGTCAGGGACAAATTCTAACCCCTCCCCCACTGGTTTTGTTTTCTGTACTTGTGTACAGTACACTCGTCTCCAGCTGAGATGTCTTTGGCACACTCTTGTCTTGCTGGCCTTCTTGCCTCCAAGCCACTGCTTAGAAGCACAAAGACAGTTTCTTTCAAGCTCTAATGGATTTAGCCATAGTCCATATTCGTTAAAAAAAAAAAAATCCTTATGAGTTCTTGGATGTTATGCAATCTTTTGATTTTCATTCTCAGTCTTTTAACAACCTATAGTCAGTCAAAGCCTAGGGGAGAAAAGAAGAGATTTTGACCTTTAAACTGTTTATGTAATGAAACTAACTTACATATTTTTATGGATTTTTTTAATTATAAAAGTAATATAAAGCTTATTAGAAAGCAGTAGACATAGAGAAAAAGAAAATCTATAGAAAATGCATATTAGGGCCGTGGATGTGTCTCAGTGGTTAAATGCCTGTGGGTTCAATCTCTGGTTCCAAGAAAAAAAGAAAAGAAAATGCATATTAGTTTCAAATACCACTTTTTCCCCTTAACTTTTTTCTTCATTCACTTATGTAGCATAGCAGCTCAGAATGATATTTAGCTTTTAAATTTCACACTATATTCTAAGTTTTTCATCATGTTAATAGTAATTTGTATTAATTTGTAAGTAGGTGCAATAGTTTTGAGACATTTAATCATAGATGTGTTCCATAATTTAACAACTCTTATATTGTTGATCATTTTTAGTTTCCAGATTTTCATTGGTATACATAGTGATATAATGAATCTTTATATATATATATGACTTTAAAATATATTTAAAATTATTATCCTATACTGGTGGTTTGCCATCCAAAACTCCAGAAGTGTCACCAACTTAAAATTCAGATATTTAAGGGAGAAAACCAGAAATACAAATATACATCTGACATAACCATGACACACTTACTAAGACTAAGAAATCAACACTAGTTGCATACATTGACTAAAGCAGACTTTTTTTTTCAAATTTTCCTACTTTATTTTGCTGATGAATTTTTCTGTTCTAGAATGCAATCAAGAATACTATATTACATTTAGGATTCAACTTTTAGAATACAGTGACTAGTAATTGATTCAGAATGATAGCTGAGTGACATGGTTTGGGGATCTTATTTTGCTACCAAAAATGTCTTTCTCTTACTTCAGTTCATAGAAGGCAGTCTTGTTGTGGGTGCATTTCTTTCTTTTTTTTTGAACCAGAAATTGAACCCAGGGTGCTTACCCTCTGAGCTACATCCCTATCCCTTTTAATATTTTATTTAGAGACAGTCTTTTTTTTTTGTTGTTGTTGCAGATGGACACAATACCTGCATTTTGCTTATTTATTTATTTTTATGTGATGCTGAGGATTGAACCCAGTGCCTCACACATGTGAGGCAAGCACTCTACCACTGAGCTACAGCCCCAGCCCTAAAGACAGCGTCTTGCTAAGTTCCTTAGAACCTCAATAAGTTGCTGAGGCTGGCTTTGAACTTGTAATTCTACTGCCTCAGCTTCCTGAGATGCTGGGATTACAGGCATGAGCCGCTAAACCCGGCTGTGGGTGCATTCTCGAGTCACAATTTCCCCCTGCTTTTCTCTTTGAGTATTTTAGTGTAATTATCAAGTTCTGCATACATTTCTTTTTCTTTAGTTTCTAAGTCCCCTGAGTTTTCTCTCTATGACCTGGTTGCTCATGTGATCTGGCTCTTCGTGTGATGTTTGGCGGACCATAACAATTCTGATTTCTTGCTGGTGGTTGTTGCTAGAACTGGACACCACACTCCTGAAGTCTCACCGACACAGAGCACATTAGAATTTCCACTACCTCGTCCACATCTGGCTTCCATCTTCAACACTTGGCTTTGAGACGCGGTCGTCCTGACTCTAGTAACCCTTGAGCAGCTGTATGTCTCTTTACTTGCATGAATGCTTATTTGAATAAAATTCCTTAATCTACTCTGTCTTAACCCATGCATTCTCCAAGGGAAGGAGTAGGGAAAAAATCTTGGACATTACAATGGTTTGTGGCTCTCCCAGGCTCAGTCTTACCCAATAAAACCTTAGTCCTGAGAGAAATTGAATATTTTAATTTTTAATTAAATACTTTATTTCTTGAGGGGAAATTACATCTAATTAAAATTTTATCCATAAGGGAGGTGATAATGAAAGTTATATAGTTATTATCTTCAATAAAATACAGATGGTTCTGATCTGACAAGATAATTTTAATTTTATGGGGATTTAAATGTGTATATCACTATGAATTGATACAACAATAATTATATTAAACAGGCAGTACCTTGGTCACAAACACTTTGGTCACTCTCAAGATTGACATAGTTAATAGTTCAGTATGATTATTCAGAATTAAAGATTTTTCCTCATAGACACCATGATATTATTTACATATATGATATAATGAAAGAATCTGCCAAATGCTTCAATTAAATACAGACAGATTAGGATGAAAGGTATTTGCCTCATTTATTTTTTTATCAAATTTCATAACCAAATAAAAATACAAATAAACTTATTCAGGAACAATCATTAACAAATCTTTCCCAATCTCTAACGAGCATTGAATAATGCTTATAAATCATCACTATTATCTTTTATTGAGCGACCGGTATGTACAGATTCAACGCCAAATTCCTTTCATTCAATTATCCCTTTTAATCTTTTTTTTTTTTTTTGGGTAGTGCTGGGGATTGAACATAAGGTTGTGTGCATGCTAGCAAGCACTCTACCAACTGAGCTATATCCCCAGCCCATCCCTTTTGATCTTCATAAAAAAAATCATATGAAATAGTCTTAATATCTACATTTTACATTGGAAACTGAGGCTCAAAGAAGTTAAATAAATTGTCAGGATTATTCTTGTCTGAGACGGTGACACTGTCCTTTAAAACCAGCCTACTAAAAAAGTCCATGTGCTTAATCACTACAAACCCTATCTCTCACTTATTTCCATTTTCATCTTCACTAATACATTCTAGACTGCATCTGCTTGAACTCCTAGGATCCACTTTCATTATTTTTCTGGAGAATTACTGATTATTTTCTGCACATTCTTTCAGCCAACTGGCATGGCACAGATTTGGGCATGGAGAATTAATGTCACTTAATTGGTATTAGTTACCACTGCCACCACCATTAGAGTTAGAATTTAGTATAGAAAGAGTTTGAAAACAATCCAGATTACATAATGAAGTCCCTTGGGGCTGAGCATTTGCTAGAATTTAAAAAAAAAAAAAAAAAAAAAAAAAAAACAAAAAAAAACCTCTTCTATGGATCCTGAGCCTAAAGGAATTCAGCCAGTTTCAGCCAATTTCAGAGTTAGCATGGCCGAAAATTTTATGAAGCACTTAACTCTCCCCTGTATGCCCTGTTGAGGTTTTCTGAAGTACTGTACTTGGGTTCACCTGACATGTCTATGAAGAAGGCTCTGGAGGCAAGAAGATTCCTAAAAGCAGTTGATAGCATTTACTGTGGCTCTCACAGGATTTGAGGCCCTCTGACCAGCTCAGGGCCACTAACTACACAATGGCTGTTTTCTCTCTGAAAAACTAGGGACTCTGCGTAAGTCTAACCTCAGTATTTGGTGCTACTCTTTTTGACTCTTAGCCTTTCTTTCTTTCTTTCTTTCTTTCTTTCTTTCTTTCTTTCTTTCTTTCTTTCTTTCTTTCTTTCTTTCTTTCTTTCAGTACTGAGAATTGAACTCAGGGTACCCTCAATCTCTGAGCTACAATCTCAATCTTTTTTCTTTTTCTGTGTCTGACACAGGGTCTTGAGGCTGGCCTCGACCTTGTGAACATCTGTTTTAGCTCCTGAGTGGCTGGGATTATAGGTATGTGCTACTGTGCCCAGCTGCACGTCTTCAAACATGAGAAAATATTAAATGTTTTGTGGGATTCCCATGTTCTCATAGAAAGGGTAGTAACGATTTGGGAAAGAAAGCAAAGGAACTATAGAGAACAAAGGTCAATGTACACATTGTATAATGGTCTTCATCTGTTCGGGGCATTATAACAAAGCATCATAGAAATTGGTAGCTTATAAAAAACAGAAACTTATTTCTCACAGTTTGGGGGTTGGGGAGTTCAAAATTAAGGTACTGGCAGATTTATTGTCTTGTGAAAGTCCTCTTCCTAGTTCTCACCATGTCCCCATGTAGTGAAAGGGATAGGAGGATCTCTTGAGTGTTTTTTATTTTTGTTGTTTTTGTTTTGCAATATTAGGGATGAAACCATTATGTACTCTACCACTGAACTACATCAACAGCCCCCCGCCCCCACCATGCCCCAGTCACCCTTTTTGAGATAAGCTTTCACTAAATTGCTGAGGCTGGCTTTGGACTTGTGGTCCTCCTGCCTCAGCCTCTTGAGTTGCTGGAATAACAGGTATGTGTGGCACCACCCAGATTGGAGGGTCTTTTATAAGAGCACTGTGTTAGTAAACTTGCCAACATTGTGAAGAAATACCAGAGTTAACCAATGTAAAAGGAGGAAAAGCTTATTTGGGCTCAGAATTTTGGAGGTTTCATTCCAAGGTAGTTTGACTCTGTTGCTTTGGGCCTGCAGTAGCACAGTACATCATGGCAGGAGCACTTGATGGAGAAGGGCTGTTCATGTCATGGGGCTGGGAAGCAAAGAGAGAGAGAGATGAAGGGGCCAGACTCCAAATATACCCTTCAAGGGTACACCCCTAGTGACCTCACTTCCTCCCACTAGGTCCTGTGTCCTAAATGTTCCAAGACCTCCCAATAGCACCATGGATGGGGGTCCAAGCCTTCAACACATGGGCTTCTGGGGGACCCACCAGACCCAATCTACAGGTGGCACTAATCTTATTCCTGAGAGCTCAGCCCTCATTACCTAATTTCCTCCCAAAGTTTGCAACTCCAAATACCTCACATTGGGGGTTAGGCTTTGGCATGTGACTTTGGGGACAAAATAAACATTCAGTCTACAACACCAACTCTTAAGAATTAGTAAATGACAACATTTTATCACGCTTGCTTTTTCATTTTTTTTTTCCCTTTTGGTACCAGGGATTGAACCCAGGGGTGCTTAACCACTGAGCAACATCTCCAGTGCCTTTTTAAATTTTTATTTAGAGGGCTGGGGATGTGGCTCAAGCGGTAGCACACTCACCTGGCATGCGTGTGGCTCGGGTTCGATCCTCAGCACCACATACAAACAAAGATGTTGTGTCCACCGAGAACTAAAAAAAAAAATATTAAAAAAATTTTCTCTCTCTCTCTCTCTTAAAAAAAATTATTTAGAGACAGGCTGTTACTGAATTCCTTAGGGCCTCACTAAGTTGCTGAGACTGGCTTTGAACTTGCAATTCTCCTTCCTCAGCCTCCTGAGCTGCTGGGATTACAGGTGTGTGCTACCATTCCTGGCTTCATATTTTTCTTTAAGAAGAACTACAATAAAGCTGAGTTTTGTTTTGCTCACCTCCCAATTCCATTCACCTCCTTCTTTTCCTGATAGCAAGAATGATCATGAATTTGTCATGTCAAGGTATAAATACACATATACTATATGTGTAAAACAATACTAAATTGTTTTTTGTAAAATTATATAAATGGTATCCTATGGTACACATATATATGTTTCATGTTTTTGTAACTTTTCATACCCACCCAACATTTCATTGATGACATTCATTTTTGTTGTTATGCAAAAATACAATTCAGTCATTTAAATTATTATGGTATTCTATCATACCTACATAGCAATATTTATCTGCTTTCTTTAGGATTTGCATTTGGGATATCTTCAATGTTATGATTCCAAACAGAGCTGAAATGAACATTGCTCTGCTTTCTAATGTACAGTGCAGGACTTCCTCTGAAGCATTAACCTGGGCTTGGAATTTCTGACTTGCCAACTTCCAGGTTCCAATTATTATGAATGGGTCTCCAAGGTGATGAGCCAATCATGCTTCTATTGGCAGTGTTTGACAATTCCTGTTTTCCCCCATCCTGGCCAACAGAAATATGTCAGACTTTCAGCTTTGTCTTGTTGAGAAGAAATGTTAAATGAAAGCTGTGTTATTTTCCACTTTGTTTTGCTGTTACTAGTATTTTCTTATGCTAATAATCCATTTATGTACTGTGCACATAAAGAAGAAAAACTGCTCGACCCCTCTATTTTTTTTATTGCATTGATTTTTTTCTTATTTTGTGGAATGAAGTATTTTCTGCATATAAATCCTTTATTGTTTAAATATGTTGAAACTGTTTTCTTTAATCCTTTTAAAAAACACAAAGGTTTTATTTTTTTTTATTGGTTGTTCACAACATTACAAAGCTCTTGACATATCATACTTCAAACAATAGTTTCAAGTGAGTTATGAACTCCCATTTTTACCCCAAATACAGATTGCAGAATCACATAGGTTACACATTCACATTTTTACATAATGCCATACTAGTGACTGATGTATTCTGCTACCTTTCCTATCCTCTACTATCCCCCTCCCCCCCATCTTTTCTTTCTATCCCATCTACTGTAATTCATTTCTCTCCTTATTTTTCTTCCAATTCCCCTCACAACCTCTTTTATGTAGTTTTTTATAACAATGAGGGTCTCTTTCCATTTCCATGCAATTCCACTTTTCTCTCTCTTTCCCTCCCATCTCTTGCCTCTGTTTAATGTCAATCTTTTCTTCCTGCTCTTCCTCCCTACTCTATTCTTAGTTGCTCTCATTATATCAAAGAAGACATTTGGTATTTGTTTTTTAGGGATTGGCTAGCTTCACTGAGCATAATCTGCTCTAATGCCATCCATTTCCCTGCAAATTCCATGATTTTGTCATTTAAAAAACACAAAGGTTTTAAATAGTGGCCTTTGTTATACAGAATTTTAGTTTTGATATAGACAAACTAATTAAGTATTATAATGTCTTGTTTAGGAGTTACTTCCTTTTCCAAAGTCATATAGATACTTATTTTAAAAAAATGACTTAGCTGGGTGCAATAGTGAACACCAGTTATCCCAGGAACTCAGGAGGCTGAGACAGGAGGATGGCAAGTTTGAGGGCAGTCTTAGCAATTTAGGGAGATCCCACGTCAAAGTGAAAAACAGAAAAGTGTTGGGAGACAAATCTCAGTAGTAGAGCACCCATGGATTCAAATTTCAGTACTCTAAAAGCAAACAAAAATTTGAAAAATTAGCTGGCCACAGTGTCACACCCCTGAAATCCCAATAACAGGAAACTGAGGCAGGAGAAATACAAGTTTGAGGCCAGCCTCAGCAACAAAGCAACTCAAAATAAAAAATAATAATAATAATATAAAGGGCTAGGGGTGTGGCTCAGTGGTAAAGTGCTTCTGGGTTCAATCCTCAGTATCCTCCCCCCAATAAAAAAAAAAGATTAAATTCTAAAATTAAAATATTTCTTTAAAATGAAGTGAGATGATGATCCAGAGGTATTTTTTATCTGTGGGAACTTGCATATGGGAATCAAGTAGCCTTAGTTCCATTTATTAAATATTCTGTCTTTCTCCCAATAATTTATATTGTCTTATCTGCTTTATATCAACGACTCTTCCATACTTGAGCTGCATCTGGGTTCTTCATTCCATCCATCTGTTCATCCGTCTTTGGGTTGTTGCTGTCGTACTTGCTTACTATCTTACTATCTTACTTTATAGTAAGACTGTATCACTTTTACTTCAAATTCCTTGTTTTAGTTCTTTTTCAGATTGTCTTGACTACAACTTTTGTTTTCCCATAAGCAACTTAAATCTATTTGTCTATTTAAAAAAAAATGCCTCTTGGAATTTTGATTAGAATAACATAGAATGTATAGGTTAATTTGATAAGAATATTGTGCCAAATATCTTCCACTTCCTCCTTCAAACTCTCCTTCTCTATTTTAATCTCTTCTCTGGACAACAGACCTTCACTTAGTTATTTTTCTACACCTCAGTTTCCTGATCTATAACATGAAGAGTGCAAGAGTACCATCACAGAATTGTTATGAGGAATTCATATACTGAGCACATAGTAAATCCTATGTAATGGGCTATTAAATAAGTGAATACAGTATCTAATGGGCTCAAAATGATATCTATTAAAAGTACAAGGAATTGGGCTGGGTGAGGGGGCATATGCCTATAATCCCAACAGCTCAGGAGGCTGAGGCAGGAGGATTGCAAGTTCAGAGCCAACCTCAGAAGTTTAGTAAGGACTTAAGTAACTTAGTGAAACCCTGTCTCAATTAAAAAAAAAAAAAAAAAAAAAGCTGGAGATGTGGCTTAGTGGTTACATACCCCTTGGTTAAATTCCCAGTACAAAAAAAAAAAAAAAGCACAAGGAATTGTGAAACAAAATATTTTATTTTTTATTTTATTTTATTTTGATTTTTTTTGAGTCCCAGCAGCTTATTTAATCTCTACAGCTGGGGCCAAGGGGTCAGAGTGGTTTGACCAATACCCCCCCTCCCATGACTAGACCTTGGGGGCATAGAAAAACAGATTGGTAATCAACAGGAAAGTGGGGAATGAGAGTGTCTTCCCTGCCTGTCAGGGCTGGCTGGCACTGTCCTGATCACAGCTGTCCTGGTCCTGACTCTCCCCATGGTTCTACATGCAGAAGCAGAGCAAATGTAAATGCGTAATCACATTAAAGAGATTTTTTTTTTCAAAACCTATTTAAATTTAATAGTGAATGCTGCATAATTATGTATCCCACTCCTTGCAAGATTCTGGGTACACGCAATTTCAGTTAATCCTTGCTTGAGCAATTTGAGGCCAGATACTTCACTTATCCCATTTGTACAGATAAGGAAAATAGGCCCAGAATGACTCAGTGATTTTCACAAGGCTATGCAATTGTTGAGAGGTGGATGCAGGGTTTGAACTCTGTGCAGTATGACTGAGAAATCATCCTATGAAACTACCAGACTGCTGCCTCTCCCCTGAACCTGAAGGAAGTCTCATGAGATAAAGTCTTTTTTTTTTTTTTAACATTTGAATCAGATGGGGTATAATTTCTCATTTTTCTGAATGTACAGGTTGCAGAATCACATTGATCATACAGTCACAAGGAATTGTGAAACAAAATATTTTAGATGTGAATCCTGAATATGCAAAAAATCTTGACATGGAGAAGAGTATCATAAATATTGGAAATGTCAATATGTTTTCTGAAATTTAAAATACAAATCAATATATGATATAAACTGTGCATTGGAAATTCTTCAGGGATAATTGGTGAGTTGGGATATACGGTAGCATGGTAGGAATCACAGAAAGCTCTAAAAAGCTCTGATGGTTAATTTTAGGTGTCACCTTGGCTGGATTTAAGGAATACTAGAGAACTGGTAAATTGTCACTTCTAGGTGTATCTGTTAGGATGTTTCCAGAGAAGATTGGCATGTGAGTTGGTGGACTGAGTGGGGAAGATCTGCCTTTAATGTGGGTGGGCACTATCCAATCAGCTGCCCTCCAAAAACGAAAACTAGAAAAGGGAAAGAGAATCCTCCCTCCTGCCCGCCCCACTCCCTCCTACAGAAGGCCTTGCATGGAACCTCTCAGCCCCCATAATTCTGGGAGCCAATTCCCTTAATAAATCTTGTCTTATCTGATAGAACAATATATGGATGAGATAAATGCAAGGCAAACAAAAATGTTCCAATACAAATTAAATAGGGAATATAAAGTTAAAAAAAATAAGGAAACAACATACAACAATAACAACAACAAAAAGATAATAAAGCAATCATAACAAAATGTCAGAACTAAAGGAAAACGTGAGTGTTACGACTTCAGAACATACAGAATGTCGAGTAGGATGAAATAAACTCAGAAATAGACATACTAATGGAATCTGTGGAACCTGAAAGAGATTCTTAAAAGTTGATAGAAAATAGAACAATTAGACTGACAAAATATATTTCATTAATAGCTATAGATGCCAGAAGACATAGAATAATGTCTTTGAAGTTAAGAAGGAATATCATCATAAACCTAGAATTCTATGCCCAAATTTTCAACGCAAGGGTGGGGATAAAATAATTTGTGAAATAAAAAAATTTCAAGAGTTCATGTTTTATAGACTCCTTTTTTTTTTTTTTTGGTACCAGAGTTTTAACCCAGGGGCGCAAACCACTGATAACCACATCCTCAGCTCTTTTTAATATTTTACTTAGAGACAGGGTCTTGCTGAGTTGCTTAGAGCCTTGCTAAGTTGCTGAGGCTGGCTTTGAACTAGTGATCATCCTGCCTCAGCCTCCTGAGCCGCTGTGATTTCAGGCTGGGGCCACAGCGCCTGGCTTTTATAGACTCTTGAAAAAAGAATTACTAAAGGATGTACCTTAGTAAGAACAGACATAAATCCACAAGGAAGGAATGGGGCGTAAGAAACAAGGAGCAAAATATCAGTAAAATATGTTGGCAAATCTAATGAAACAATTTGGGGAAGGAGTTTTAAAAATGAAACTAATGTAAAAAAAAATGGTAGATTTTAGTGAGGAGATAATACCTGTAAGACCTTTATCTTCTCTAGGCTGGGGATGGGTGACAATTACTTGGACAGGGCATAGGGTAGGGACACCCTTTTGATAACAATAGCCCTAACCAATAGTTTCAGCTTTTAGTAGTCTTCTTTCCAGGAGAGAGCACAGATCTAACCTCCTGTCATGTAAAAGGTGCTTCTGTATACCATCACCCTCCAGGACTTGAAATTCCTAAAAGAACAGAATTCCATCTGCTCATTTCTGGAACCATAGCTTCATAGTTTCAACCCCTGTTCATTACTTTCTCACTCATGGAAGTGTTTATTTTGTCTGGGATTATGCTGTATCTTATTCATATTTTTTTCTATCATTTTTTTTAACTGACTTT